ACATGGTCAACAACATCTTCCAGGGTCTTCAGCTGCAGGCCGTTGTTGTCCGTACGGGCAAAGTAGACCTTGTGATCAGCGAGCTTGTCACCACGATCAGCAGTGACAAGACCCTTGGTGTCGACCAGGTAGAAGCACGCGCGGGCCTCATCCTCGGTCATACCCTCGCGGACGAAGAAGTCAACAATCTGCTTAGCAACACCGACACCGGCGCTACCAGCACCGAAGAAGACGGCGCGCTGGTCCTTGCAAGGAAGGCCAGAGCGCTTGACAGCATTGATGACACCACCGAGGATGACAGCGCCAGTACCCTGGATGTCATCGTTGAAGCAGGTGTAGTTGTCACGGTAACGCTCCAGAGCAGGGAAGGGGTTCTTGAAGTCCTCGAATTGGATTACAATACTGCAACGCGTAAGCAACAATCCAGTCGGGTCGATCATGCATGAGCCACTTACCCAGGCCAGCGCTCGGTCAGAGCAGCCATCAGCTCATCCAAGAATTCACGCTCCTCCTCGGGAGTCACCTTGTCGCGGCGGCTGCCCATGTACAACGGGTCTTCCCGGAAAGCCTTGTTGCTGGTGCCCAGATCGAGAGTCAAGGGCAGGGTGGCCTCGGGGCGAATACCCGCGCAGGCAGTGTACAGAGCCAGCTTACCAATGGGAATACCCATGCCGTTGATGCCAAGGTCACCCAGACCGAGAATCCGGGAACCATCGGTGATACATGTGATTTCCACGTTGGGCTGGGGCCAGTTGGCAATGACAGCGGCCAGGTTGCCGCGATCCTCCCAGCTCAGGTACATACCTAGACGTGCATGGTTAGCGGCCGATTCAGCCCGTGATAAGCACGCTAGACAGGGATTCGCCACACACCTTCGGGCTGCTGGTAGATCTCAGACCATCTCTGGCAGGCTTCTCCAACGACGGGAGTGTAGATGAGGGGAGTCATTTCCTTAGTGTGGTGTTAGCTCATTGGCTGACAATAAAGTGGTTCTGCAGCTGCAGGCTTACCCTCAAGTGGTCCGTGACCAGACGGTAGAACAGGTGAACATTGTTCTTACGGAGAGTGCTGAGGTAGAGGAACTTGTCGATGGGGGTCTGCTTGAGAGCCAATTGAGCGAGGCCTGCAACTCCATTAGCTTCCAACCCCATCCGACCAGCATTCCTCATCTACGGATATACGCACAGCGAGTCTTCTGGGTCTCGTATGACTCCGCACGCGGGGGCGTCAAGCCGTAGGTGCGGAGATACTTGCGAATGTAGGCAGGGTTGGCAGTGTCATAGTTTGCATCACTAGACGTAGAGGAAGGCATTGTCAGTAACAGGGACGGCCGAAGTGAAAATGTGATAAAATGTGACTGAGTCGAGTGTAGATGGTGCCGTCAAGGACGGGGAGGCAAAAGACTGGTACTTACACAGGTGCCGCATGGTTCACCAAGGAGGTCGCGTGGACGGGACGGCTTTGCTGAGCGGGAAATCGAGCCATGGTGGAAGGCTGAGTCACGGCCAGGATACTCTTGGAACGAACACCAACGATATCAGAAGAAGAGGGGAGATTGAAGGAGGCAGCAGAGCTGATGGCAGTGGAGGAGAGGATCAATTGAGGCGAGGAGACGACTGGTGGCAGTCTGATTTTATGTATTCCCTGGGCTAGTCGCATTGAACCCCCCTGAGTAAGAACCCACCGCATGCCGAAGTTCAACCAAGCAAGTGTCTCAACACCGGTCGTGATCTTCTAACGAGGTCGTCGTCAAGACTATGAACCAGGGCCGTGGATTGATTAGGGATGACAGCAATCGGGAAGAATCGGGATGCAAGGGACCACTCAGGATGACCGGGACCGGTACGGTGGGTATCGGGGTACAATGGTTGCATGGCAGCGAACCGTTTCGACTGGGTCGCTGGTCACAGACGCTCTGTGGTGGGAATTATGAAAAAAAGGCGAAGCTTGGGGGGGAGGAAAGGTGGAAATTGAACGGGTCAGATTGGGTCAGATTGGGACGGGTGTGGAGTAAACTAAACGGGAGCTCGCTCCGAATCCGACAAATGCGGAGAAAAATTGAAAAAACATTTGAGACGCACAGATTGTTTTTGGTCCTTTTGATTCAGCTCCAATTCATGGTTTTTTTGATGTGAAAGAAGAAAATTCTTAATAAAGGCGCAATAGAATTGACAAATCCCGTGAGGGGCTTGGACCTTCCAAATGTTGATTTTCGGTGTTTGGGGGGTGGGAAAGAGAAAGAAGATAATGAGGAGAAAAGTTGAGGTATTTCTCGTTCCAGGACGACGGCTACGTTGTAGTACCGAGTACAGCGAAAACACAACACACGACACACACACACGACCTGTTCGATTTGAGGTGTTTATTGTGTTTATTCCATGTGTTTTGGGTATTGTTGCTGTACTCCTGTTGCTGTTGTTGGTATTTTTGTTTCTATTCCTAATTGTTTGATTTTCTTTTACACACAATCACTCACTCACTTACTCACTTCCTGCCTACGGAATACACACTTTTCTTTCTCTTTCCAAAGTCCGAGTGGGGGGAAAGAGGGACCTTCTTCTTTTTTCTTTTTTTCTTTTTCTTCTTTTCATTTCTCTTTCCCGTTGGGATTCGGTGGCAGCTGACATACCTACTACGGAAGTTCCCCCTTGTTTCGGTAAAAGATGGTTCTAGATATGGATCCTTCTTGCTCTGTGAATTGTTTGTTGGATAATAATTACAGACCTATACCAGAATTATACCACAACCAAACAGGATTCCTGATAATCCATGCGTATTGTTGGGGATGCATAAAGTACGAATTAGAGGTGTGAGTTGAGAGAGCTGATCGAGTCACCAGCATCATCAGTCTGGATTGTACGGGGTACTTGTCAGTCTTCTAGCTCATCCAGATGCACTTCGGGTAATCCCTCTGCAACTACTGGCTTACTGTGTACAATTATACTCCGAGCACCCGAAAGTATGAGATCTACCAGTGTAGAAACTAGCATGGGGGGTAAAGGGATAAATCAATTCCAAAAGAATGTTGATATCTATCAACAAGTATATCCTGCTTACGGTGGACTAGTCTCTTAAGTCCAGGACAACACTTCTTATCACCGTCCGCCCTACGACGGAGGTCTATACCCTATACTGTATACTGTCTTACGGGCCCCGATTTCCGAGATGGCAAACCCGATTCCCATTCTTTCTGCTGGTCGGATGGTGGACCCGATTTAGTCAGAATTCAGCGTAGACATCGGAATCACGCAGCAGACGCTAAGCCAACAAGAGCAAAGGGTCCAGCCATGGTGGTTGAGGTGGATCGGGTCTCATGTGGCAGAGAAACAGGCTAAACTACGCCCACTAAGCCAGCTTAGTTGCCTAAGCTAACTGCCAGGCCCCAAGTCTCCAGACGATCTAACTGAACCAGGAAGGATTCTGGACCGGATGTTATTCATGCTGTGCCAGCCATTAGTCTAAGATAGTCCCGCTAGCATTCCCCGCAGCAACGCGGCCCGGACAATGGCCGAGTTCGGGTCTTGTCAGCGGCTGCAAAAAAGCCAGCACCAGAACACACACCCACACATACACACACGCATACGCACACACACAGCACGAATCAGTGTGTGTCTGTAGTAGTACCGCACCTGTGTTTCGTGTCCTGTCGGCCGATTGCCAGATATACACACATATACGAATATCTTCAAATTTTCCCAAAGCTCATAAAATCCCTCAAACTTGTTGGCTTGTCACCCGACATTGACTCGTATTGCCCGGTGTGTGTGTGTTGATCCAATCCACCACGGAGTATTCCTAGCAAGGGTGAATCCGTACCCGGAATACTCCGTGGTGCAGACGCAATGCAAAAAGGAAGCTCGTCGCCCCCATCCCAGACTACTTTACCCTTCGAAACACATTGCGCATTACTTGACTGCGCCGATCAGAAATGCGCGAATAAAGGTCAGGCAAAAAAAAGAAAAGAAAAAGAAAAAAATTCTTTTATTGTCGGGTCTCCAATTTTGACTCCAAATTCCGCGGTCCTGGCTGCCCAATAATAAAAAGTCTGAAACTTCAAACGGCCTTGCGCCTCGCCGATCGGTCCCGACCGATGGAGCATCCGATGGAGTCGCCTCCTGCGAAACTGCGAAAATCTTCCGTAGCTTCCAGTGAATAATATCTGAAGCAGTAACCCTTCCCTCATGATTGGTCCTCTCCTGCTCGACTTGGTCTCTCGCAGTGGAGAGTAGTATAATTAGTAGTGTAAGTGTGAACCGTGCTGTTTCCGTCGGAAGCACGCAAAATTTCGTCTCCTGCACACGACCAGCTTACGAGGTCGAGGCTCATCTCATTATTAATTGTCAAGTGAGAGAAATTATCGTGGGAGCTAAACGTGTCTAGTTTTGAGCTAGTGATCAATTACTATGGAATTATGATTGTTGTGCACTGTTAGTGCTAAGTATATCCTCCCTAGTCAAAAGTATAGAATTCGGTTACAGACTCCACTCCCATTGGTGCTCTTGCCGATATACTACTTTACTACTATTGTAGTCGCGTGTGAGCTACTACTAATTCTTGTTGATCTCCAACTCATCTAATTAAGATAGCGTGGGCTGTCCTGGGCGATTTCTTAAGCCATTGGACCCTGATGCCCGTTCGAGCGATTTTTCATGTCCAATTTATCCCTCACTTTTGACACGGTGGCTGAAGTTTGTACCTCATCCCGCGCATCCATCCACGCAACCATGCAGGTTTTGACCGGGTTACCCACTTCAGCAGTTCCTCGACCAGCCCCGGACCCGAGCTGCATGGATCACAAAGCTTGACTGGTGCTGATCCTTCCATTCCTTGGATTCAGCGGTTTAGCCGCGGGTTATACCTCAGATGCTTCCAAGCACCTCCCGCATTGAACGCCTGATGAGAGAAAGATTGAAGCTGGGTGACTCTAGCCCATGAAGTGTGTGATACAGGTCATACACACTAGAATCTGAGAGCTATTTACTGTTGGCTTAGTCGTTAATATGTGTGACGATGCTTTCCTAGTTTTGGATCCATCGTATCGCACAGCGGTCAACCTGTTTGACATAAAATCGGCGTGGTGGCACTGTGGCCATACTTGACTCATCGGACAGGACTCCGGAAAGCATGCGATACTCCGCGGCCATCGTTGCTAACCTTGCAGGTGTATGTATCAGTCATACCTCCATGTTATCGGTCCTTGTACAGGCTATTCAGGCAACAGAGATCTTGTTCGCCCTTACGTCGTTGAAGGACTGCGGTGCCAGCGTTTCATTGCATTACACCATCTGCTACAGCTTTGAGATCACACAGGCCTTGCGTGGTTTACAAGAGAATGTCAAGTCTTGAGATAAGAATATCATGCGATGGTGTATCTATCAGTGAGCCGTCATCGAATCTCGCGGACCGTTGCAGTTGAACAGGGCACAATGGCATATATGATGCTCCGTCTGGGATGATCCAGCTATTGCCTGATTACATCTAGACTGGACTGGAAGCAATGATTTGGAGATGATAGGGATATCGCGATGATAGGACAATGCTGGCGTGTCACCTGACTGCGGCCGAACCCGGCCAGTAGCGGTGACGCAATGGTGATTAGGCGCAGGCCCGTGATCGAGACATGCAACAACAACCGGGAAGCTTTGCAATCAGCTAACCAGCTGCCGGTTTCCCCTCTTTTCCTGCTTCCATTCCACCATTGTTTGCTCGGCCAGGTTTGCAGATACTCCCCATCTCCCCTCTGTTCGTTGTGTGCATTTACCATCTCCATCTTCATCAATTTTCATCAGGTACCTAGCTTTTTGTTTTGTTAAGTCATCCTGGTACGCCAGGCATCCTTCATCATGCCGCAAGGAGAGACAGAGCCCCTCCTCCCTCGCTACAGGGAGGACACGACCCTCCAGCGTCGCCTGCATCAAAAATTACACACATACCAGATGATCCGTGCCCTTTCGGATGGGTACATGCCGTCTACTGAACAAGCCATCATCAATCTGCGCACCTTGTTGGCTTCCGATGTCCTTTCCCCTCATACCCACGATGTTGGCACCGTCGGCCGTCAGATTGTCCGCGACTGCCGCCTCTGGATCCAAGTGTTCATCGAGCTCTTGCAAGAGAAGAATGGTGATGATAAGCTCCAGGAGTTCTTGTGGCACCTCTCACGCTCCAGGGCGTCCATCGACCCCAACAAGATACAGCAGCGAGCCAATCAAACCAAAGCAAGGGCGGATACGAAAGCGGGTACCGACTTCCGTTCTTTTCTGTTCATGCATCAGGCTGTGGGTACCACAGGGCATAGAGTAATGAGCTAACAATTGTGATCCAGCATATGATAGCCTGCGCACTGTGGGAAGCCTACTCTTGACCAACGCGGACTTCCGGCTCTTCGTTGATGATCTGTCGACCGTCGGCCGCCAGATCTTTTCCGATACGGCATTCTCGTTGTCCAACACATCGCAGCAGATTGGAAAGGAGCTTCAACCTTCTCAAGAAGATGTAGATGCTATTCAAGGGGCAGGCGCCGACGAGGGCCGTTCTGCAGGAAACGAAGAATTACGTGAAGAGGCAGCTACTGTAGCGAAAGTCGCAGGCAATGGTGTTGCTCGCACCGGAAAAGATGCAGTTCACAGTGCCAAAGAACACCTAGCCGGACAGGAAAAAGACGCCTTGCTCTATCGGTTAAAGAAGACCGTGATGAACCTTCGGGACCGTTCTGACTATACAGATTCGGTTGCCACATTAGGCCAACTGCTGGGGCGATATGCAAAAGCGTATGCAAGTGCGGCTTCGGATGTCGTCACAACAGCAGAAGAGGAAGTCGACGTCAATAAGGACCTCAAGGAGGCAATGGAACACTTCTGGTTGCTGGTTCAGTCGTTTGGCGATGCTCAGGAATGGAAAACCCTGGAGGAGCGTTTCAAAGCTGTAATGCAGCACTCGAACAAAGATCCAGAGTTTGAAAAATTCGTCTCTGAGACAGGTTCCTTGGTCGAAGAGATGTTGACTGATCCAAAATTCTTCGATTCGGCCGAAGAGAAGATCGATGAGCTCAAAGAAAAGTCAAAGCAAATTGAGACAGGATCCAGTATCCGTCAGGATGTGGATGCATTCCTGGCACAAGCAAGACGGGCTCTGCGGACGGTTCCGCAAGACAAAGCCGTGTCTAAACTCTTCGATGCGACCAACAAGCTATACAAGGATGCTTGGGACGGCTACAATAGCCGAGAAGGCCAATTACCCACCGACCTGATCGAAGTCTTCTTTCCCCTAGTTCTCCGCACTATTCAATACATACCAATCCCGCGGCTGGAGATATCTGCACCAGAGGTCGATCTATTACTGGAGAGCCTCATCCTAGAACCTGGTAAAACCGTCAATTATTCCTCATTTTTGCCATACCGGATGCATGTTACAACGCGCAATGACATCGACATCGTGAAGAAGCATTCCAAGAAAACCGCCACTGATCTCAAAACCACATTTACGGCAACAGTATGTGGACTAAATATTAGTGCTCAGGAATTCGGATATTGGATGCGGACCCATTCGGCGCTTCTATTTGGCCTCAAAGATGAGGGAATTGCCAGTTTCTACCTGGATAAGCGCGGTATTGACATCTCCCTGGACATAGAGGTTGGAAGAGAGCGGCTGGAACACATCTTCACTCTGCGCGGTGTCCGTGTGCGGATCCACAAGCTGGACTATAAAGTCCACCGCAGCAAGTGGAAGTGGCTCATCTGGTTGACGAAGCCTTTCCTCAAGCACCTAGTCCGCCGAGTCTTGGAAAAGAAGATCGCGGAGAACATTGTTCAGGCTGCTTTCACGCTCAACAGAGAGCTGGTCTTTGCTCGAGAACGTCTGCGAGCAGCACGCATTGCCAACCCTCGGGACCTGGCAAGTTTCGTGCGGGCAGTGCTGGCACGGCTGCAATCGCTTCCTGACACTGACGTCGAGACTCGTATTGGTCTTGAGCCACCTGGTAGCGGTGTCTTCAAGGGTGTATACGCCCCGGGCAGCTTGGTTAAAGTCTGGCATGACGAGGCCTCTCGTGCCCCTGAGGCCATTGAAGAGGGTGATGAGAGTCAGGGACTGGGACGAACCTGGCGTAACGAAGTATTCGATGTGCCGAGAGGTTAAGCCTATGACGTCGTCTCATTTTCATCACGAGTCACGATTGTTCCCTTTGGTCTGGATCAACTGTCAAGGTCCCCGCGCTATAAAAGTGCATATTCCGTAGTTGCTTGGATGATCGACGCCGGTGGGTTCGTAGTAAGGGTGCGGGGAATTTGCCACAGTTTATTTCTCTACTTTAGCTAGCAATGAGCGTTGATAGCGACTGTTGTATACTATTCATGAATTCTGATCTGGTCCTCCCCGTATAGTGTGATCCCACGTGACCCGGTCGCGGACGAACAGTAAAGCCGGCCGGCGTTGCGGCCACCTAACCGGTTTATGTGGTTGGCCGAACATCCTCTCCATCTTCGAGTCCGCGATAACAGACAGCCTGGCCAAACACAACGTCTGCTTCTTGAGGTCTTGACTGATCTTGAGCAGCTCCCGCCAGGGACCAAACATTCCTCAATCCTTACACCTTTATCCGACCCTCTCCCCTCAATCTTCCTCGTCCCTCTTTTCCCCCCAATCTACCCACATACATACATCCGTCCTTCTTGGCCGATCGACATCCTTCTATACTTCCAACATAACAAACACTCTAAAGTATAACCCACGCCGACACCACATCCCTCGCTACAAAACAACCACGACAGCCACTTGAGCTGCGACGCTTCGCAGCTCACACCAACCAATATCACCAAATATAATATATAAACCAAACCGACGCAACCATGTTCCCCACCATGCGAACCGTGGCCCTCTTCGTGGTCCTCTCCATCTGTCTCATCCAATTGGTCCTCGCCGCAGAAGACTACTACAAGATCCTAGGACTGGATAAGTCCGCCTCGGAGAAGGACATCAAGCGCGCCTACAGACATCTGAGCAAGAAGTTCCATCCGGATAAGAACCCGTTCGTTTACCCTCTCCCTTCTCCCAACCTTCTTTCTTCTGTTTGGCGCTATTGCTAAATTATCTGATGTGATATAGAGGCGACGAAACCGCGCAAAAGAAATTCGTCGAAATCGCCGAAGCCTACGACGTGCTCTCCACGTCCTCCACCCGCAAGATCTACGACCAATACGGCCACGAAGGCCTCGAACAGCACCGCCAAGGCGGCCGACAATCGCACGACCCATTCGATCTATTCTCGAGATTCTTCGGCGGTGGAGGTCATTTCGGACATGCGCCGGGACATCGCCGGGGACCGGACATGGAGCTCCGGGTCGGGTTACCGCTGAGAGATTTCTACAACGGACGGGACTTCTCGTTCGGCGTTGAGAAGCAGCAGATCTGTGATGCATGCGAGGGTACCGGGTCCGCGGACCGGGAGGTCGTCACCTGCGACAAGTGCTCTGGACGGGGAATGATCATCCAGAAGCACCAGCTCGCGCCTGGCATGTTCCAGCAAGTGCAGATGCATTGCGATAAGTGTGGCGGACAGGGCAAGATGATCAAGAAGCCGTGCCCGGTGTGTCATGGCCACCGGGTGGTTCGCCGCGAGGTGGAGACGCATGCGACTGTAGAACCTGGAATGGATAAGGGGATGCGATTGGTATACGAGAACGAGGCGGACGAGAGTCCCGACTGGATTGCGGGCGACTTGGTGCTGATTCTGGAGGAGAAGGAGCCGGAGCTAAGCGATGCCGAGGAACATCGTACGGATGGGACGTTTTTCCGCCGCAAGGGCAAGGATCTGTTCTGGAAGGAGGCGCTGTCGCTACGCGAGGCGTGGATGGGCGAGTGGACGCGCAATATCACGCATTTGGATGGGCATGTGGTTCACTTGGGGAGGAAGCGCGGGGAGGTCGTGCAACCGTTGTCGGTAGAGACGATTAAGGGTGAAGGTATGCCGCATTACTCGGATGGACATCTTCATGATAATGATGATGAGGATGAGGAGCCTGGGAACTTGTATGTCGAGTATGCGGTTATCTTGCCGGATGAGATGGAGAGCGGGATGGAGAAGGACTTCTTTGCCCTGTGGGAGAAGTGGCGTAAGAAGAATGGAGTCGATTTGGGTCGCGATAGTGGGAGGCCTATGCCTGCTCCGCCGGTGAAGGATGAGTTATGATAGATATCGATTGCTTAATTCTTGCTCGCCTTTCTCTCTTCCTCTCTCTATCTTTCCCTTCGCTTCATGGGACGTGACATTGTACATTTACTCAGTGGTTTAGATAGCTATCTTAGACGTTCTCTATAGAGAGTATATCGAAAATGGTATCCTTGACGCCCGACGCCCTTGATCCTAAAGAATAGGTGTTGTCCCTAATTAGTTTACTGCTTGTGTATAATCATCATCCACACTTCACAATCATTGTTTTCGGAATGGTGGGGGAAACCCATTCTCCTTGCGTCGCAGTGATCCGTTTACATCCGAACCAGAGATCCCATGCCCTCTCAGACCCTGAGATGGCAAACAGCTGCTGTGTCACCAATTGATGATGGTTGCCTAGAGATGCAGTCGATAAGAGATCAGGAGCGTTTCCTATGCGTTCAAGCGTACGGGTAATTCAGCTCTGGATTACCGCAATCGCCGATTCATGCAGGGATCGCGCCTTGCATGCAGACAGATATGGGTGACACAGACTCATGATTCGCTGCATGGACAGACACTTTCCTAAGTATACGATTCGTTGGCTGATGTCCCGAGATCTGCAGCTAGAGAGGCCCAAACGGGGCCAAATCGCCACTATCCCATAAATTCCCCGACAGACTCTCCAGCGTCTCGAAATCGGGCATCCAGAATGGACTGTCTTCTTCCAGATCGATCCAGGGCGCGATCTGCAGTGCCATGCGCACGCCATGGTCCTGGCTGCTAGTGGGTTCAGAAGAAGCCTGGGCGGCGGTGTTGGCTGCCGTTGCGTTGTTCATATCTGGTGCCATGCCGCTGGTGGGGTTGTTGCTATTGCTGCATGTGGTGGTGAGGTTGTGATGGTCCCTGAACATTCCTGCATTGATGCCACCGCTGCTACTGTGTTGGGCTGTCATCAGTTCCGCCATACCCACCTTTTTGGATGCATCACTTCCTTCTAGCTTCTCCATTGCGGCGTTGACGAGTAACTCGAATGCGTCGCGGTATTTCTTGACCCATTCGGCGCGCTCACCCATCACGAACAGAACGGTCGAGCAGGCGCGGATGTCGTTGCTCATCTGGACGGACCAGACGTCGCTTGTGTGGGTCCATAGGGCGTATAGCAGGGTGATGCCAGCCATGAAGATGGTCTGGACGGCTAGGAAGGAGTGCCCGTATTCGAGGGTTTGGTGTAGCTTCTTGTGGGTTTGGCAGGTGTTTCCGGCTGCGCGGAGACAGATGTGATAGTAGGGGTCAGAAAGAGGGAGTGAGGGTAGGAATGGCTGGATGAGAAGTCGTAGGGCTCGGTGGTAATGCAGCATTGGATAGTCTAGGTCGGATCCGGTGAAACGTCGCAGAGCTGACTCTTTCCATTCTTCGAGCTGGAGAAAGAGTCGGTCCATCTTCGAGCGTAAAGTGTGCAGTGGTCGGTCAGCTCGGTAGATCTTGTGCTGAATTTCGGAGTCAATGCGCCGCAGGCGCATGAGGAATATGGCAAATGTCAGGGTGGTGATTCTGGTCGGAGCTGGAGGGGCGGCTAGCAAGGCCGGATCGCGGACATCGTCGTCAATGTCTGCAGGCAAAGGAAGATCGATATGTCTGTCTGCGATGCTGAATGGTCGGCCCAGGGACATAGACACGACACGTTCGAGATAGTATATAGTCCAGAAAAGACGCCGTCGCATTTGCGCAGTGAAGGGATCCATGTTAATCTCGTTTGCTTTGCGATGCAGTCCAAGGTCTATAGCGGTACGCATGGCCAGGCCTACCATGTACCACATGCCTTGACCAGACGCGGAGCGAAGATGATACACAATCAGCAGGGCCATAGCCTCAATATTTTCTATAGATCGCATTTCGCACATATTTGGTAGTTGTTGCAAAGCGGTCATGTAAAATCGCTAGCGAGGTGGTTAGAACAAATTATCTCCGCACCACAAGAGCAACATACCTCAGGAGTGGTATACGAGTAACTTTCACTTAACTGAATCGATGTGGCTCCGATGGCATATACAAGATACAGCTTGAATATGCCTACCCGTTCCTCCTTGGTCAGCTCTTCTCGTTTCTTCTGCGCCAGCCGCCAGCGCGCCTCATGCAGTCGCCACAACTCCGTGCGGTCGAGAAACGGATAGCGAACATGGATCCGGGTGAGATATGCATGAAGAATCCTGGATCCCATTTCATCGCTAGGAGGCTCGCTGCTTTTCACCAACACCTCCTCCACTCGTGGCGGTCGAGTTCGATCATGGACTTGACCAGCCCTCTCGCCTGGAGGCTGAGGGGGAAGACCCGTAGATCCTTGTCCCGCTGCAGGTCCAAATCTACTTGATGACGCTGCTCGAGCTGAAGATAGAGCCTGGTTCCATATTGTGGCTTGGACCATCTCCCCAAGATTTGTAGCTAAGGAGAGGCCCGAACTGGAACCTACGTATGCAGGCGCTTCCGAGGAGTTAAGTGCCAGAAATCCCACCAATTCTCCGACGGCATTTTGATCCAGACCAGGGGTCGGGTTACTGGGAGTCTCCGGATGTGGAGGAGACAGGAGTGCAGCAACTGGATGGGCGACATGGCTGCTGGCCCGGCTACTCATGGGTTTCGACTCTAACTGGGACTCAAGGTAGGCGATGCGATCCTGCAACGCACGGGTATATCTACAATTGTCAGTGCTCCACAATGATTATTTTTCAGGCCAGGTGGGGAAAGGGGGGATCCCACTCGTTTTGAGTGCCATTCTCCTGTCGTACGGTGGCTTTGTCACATATCGCCCCGGCCTTTTGGCAGTTGGAGCACACGGGGTAGTCATTGTCACACTAAGACCCGACCATTAGCATTGACTGATGCCCCGGAGTAACATGCTGGAGCCAACTACAACCCGGACTGATCTCGAAGAGTAAGTGGATCCGTCTACTGACTTTCTGCTTTCTAGTCTTACAGCGCGTGCATGCCGTTCTGCCGCGCTTCCGGGGATTGTAGTCCCGCGAAGGTGAAGAAGAGGTTCTGGTGGGGGTCGAAGTGATCGCAATATCCATACTAGTTTATTTCATATTGTCCCTGATACAGAAGAAGGGGAAGAAGAGAAGTTAAACTCGCTCGACAATCGGAAATGTAGAAGAGCAGAAGATGAGTCAGGAATAAATGGAGGAAGAAGTTGGGAAGCTGCTCGTCCCCGCCAAGACATCTCGGCTCGACCCGCCAGTTAGCGCCTGGAGCCATTAAAATTAAATTATAGTACGAGAAAGATAAGCACCTCGCGTGGGTTCCTCTATATAGATTACTCGTCTGTATTTACACTATCATGTGTATTTCCATAATATTATTAAAGAGATATTCAAGAAGAGTATGTCATATACCAATGGATGCGTATTGCCGCAGTGGACTTTTTGTATCGCTGAAACGCCATCTATGCCGGACTTGTATCATAAGTAGATTCATTGCATCTCATAACCACCTTACGGCTCTGGTTCCGCTTTCTTCTCGGAGCGAGACGCACTCTCCATCTCACCACTGGCCTGGGATTCAGGAACCTGCTCCGATTGGGCTTCACTATCCCCAGCTACAACCTGCTTCTCGGCCTGTTCCTGGGCCTGCTCTTGCCGCCGTTTCTCTTCCTCTTGCCTCTTCTCTTCTTCTATTTCAAACTGATCCTTGGGCCTCTCCAGTCCCCGGTCGCGAATAAAGACACATGCGAGGAGACAGACTCCCATCAGCGGGACTTGGAAGATGAACACGGAGTGAGAAGCCTTGGCATATGCGTCAAGGATCTGCTCCCAATCTGCATCGGGAATACCGGCCCTCGACGGGAGCGAATAGGATGAATCAGCAATATCCCTATATCCCACAGGCAAATTGGATCGCAACGTTGCCTGCAAGATCGCAGCCGAGATAGCCAGACCACATGCACCACCTAGGCAGCGGAAGAAATTCCGGTCCGAGATTACGACAGCTCGCTGGGCCTTCGTACAATGCGCCTGAAAAGCGACCATGGTCGGTTGGAAGACACCTCCAACGCCTATGCCAGCGATGCCAACGATGACAGCAATAGCTCCCGGGCTGGTGTGGCGGTCAAACAACAGCATCAGGCCGGCGCCACTAAATGTAATGTCAGATTACAAGTATCTAACGATGGGCAAGACACCGACAGGGTCACTTACAGCGTCCAGAAGAAAAATCCAGCCCAGATCACCTCTCCGTAACGCTTGCGCCGGGAAATGTACTGGCCGGACAAGACAGAGGCCACTGATTGACAGGCGACCATTGGCGCCGTTAGTGCAGCAGAAACAATCGGGGACCAGTCCCGAGCGTTCTGATAATACAACGGCAGGTAGTAGAGAGACGACTGGTACACAGCTCCAAAAAGGAAACTCTGCAAGAACAAGGTACAGACCACTCTGTTCTTGAAAAATACCACTGTTCAAGAATTAGCAGCCGGTTCTAAGTATCGAGGTTCAACTGGTGACATACTTGGAAGCATAGGCAACACAGCGACTTTCCATTCAACTAAAAGAAACGCAATCAAAGCGCAGCCCGCAATGGTGAGCATGCTAATCACCATTGCCGAATCCCAGTTGAAGTAAGAGCCGCCTCCCGATATTGGGATCAACAAAAAGATTATTCCAATGGACGAAGACAGGATACCCCAATAGTCAATCTTGCGGGCATTTTTGCGGAGGCTGTCCTTCCGCGCATTATTGGGAATAAGGAAATAGCCCACAACAATGGAGCATGCAGAGAGCGGAGAAATGAGCCAGAAGAAACCTCGCCATGTCGAATCCATGACGAATGCTGCGGCGATGAACGGCCCGATAACGTTGCCCATCCCCAGGGCCGCACCCAGAATTCCTTGGTATTTGCCCCGGTCTCTGAGGGTGACGATATCTGATACAATGATCATTGTTAGGGAGGTGACACCACCGCCAGCTACACCAGCCAATCCTCGAAAAACATAGAACATTGGAGCATTCTGAGATAGACCGCACAGTAGATCGGCAATGCAAAGGAGTGCCAAGGCACACAAGTAGACTATCTTTCGGCCGAAGATATCAGACAACCGACCATAAAGCACCGTAAACATGGTGTTCGCAATAAGGGACGATGTGCCTGCCCATGAGATGGTATCCTGGGCGTTGAGATCTCGGGCGATTGTGGGAAGAGTAACGCTGATACCATTTTGATCAACGAAGGTGATAAGCAGAGAGACTGCGAGCCCCGTAAAGACAACCAGCAATTGCCCGATAGGCAAGATGTTAGTCTGGTCGTGCAAGGCTTTTTCCGCAGCTTGTTGTCGATTCATTCTGTTCTGTTCTGTTCTGTCTATGCCAATATAGAATTTATGAAGGCGGAAATTCCGAGCATGGTATTATAGATAAGACGGATGGAAGAATGTAAATAATCGGGAAATCAATATTGACCAGATTGGATATCTCTCAGCAACTGAATCTTGTCGACAGGGTGTGTGTGGCTTCAGGCCATGAACACCAAACAGATATATATGCAACAACTGATAAGAACAGCACGGCACAATATATGGGACGAGAAATGTTGGTTAATCAATGGTTGGCCGCAAGCGTTGTCTGAGTCTTTAACCTGTCAATTTCATAGGGGATCATCGGAGGCACCGCCGAGCACCGTCGACCGAGACCCAGCATTTTTGCCATATGGCCCACTCCACAGGGATAAGATCCAACGGCTCTCATTGGTTCTTTTACCAACCAAGCCGTGGCAGCGGCATCTTTCCGCGTCGGGTTTGCCAGTCAGTTGGCGACAGTCGTAGCAAAAGTGGATCTCCCCTGTCGGAGGTTGGAAACCGGCTAATCGGACATCCGAAAAAAATATGTTGGTCGGCCCAAGTGCCCGCACCCGCGATAACATCATAGATAACTCTTTTCTGCACCTGGTCCAAACAGGCCGATCCCGATCCTGATCCTGTCTCATCGGCCTGATTTTGAACATGACTCACAATGAAAGAGACCGCCAAGGTTCAATACCGTAAATTTTTTTTAACGACCCCTGCAAGCTGCGGCCGATGTCTTAGGCCCAGACTCAGCCGGTCCTGAGCATCGACGTAGAGAACCCAATTGCCGTGTTTGTAACTAGGCCAGCTAATCATTTGGATGATGAAGATGAAGGCGGCAGGTAGTATTCGGGTTTGCAATAAAGTCCATCCTGGTAAAGAAACCGCATACACTGTCGATGCCCTGAGTTCGTACATGATCGTCAATTGAACAGGAATTGTCTCCAAAGGGAGGGCAGTGACAAGTATCAACCTGTGAGGCATATTGTGCCGCACTATAGCGTCTGAGCTCACTCTACATCGTACATATGTCCTTGAGAGACAGCGTTGCAGCGGCGATTTGCAGGGGTGTATGCCAGTCACCCAATCGGATGTGCAGCAACATACCGCAAGGTTGCAGACGTGGCCGCGATTCGTCACGAGCCGTAAGGTTAACGCAGATCGGAGAGACGTATCTAACGCTCTTTTTAATCGGGGCAAAAGGGAAAGGGAGCTTTGATCGCCCCAACTCTACACAGAGTTATGGATGCGCATGTGTAAGTGGAACTTCCATGGTTCTTGCTGTCCAAGGCTGCTGTACGCCACGTGTGCTTGCCACAGAGGTACCTTCAAAAGCTGGACCGCCTCCGGCGCGGCTACTACCATCACTGTTTTGAATCGATTGTATCGAAGGACCCGCACTGGCTGAAGTTGCGCCCTGACTAGGAACAGTATGCTGGGGGGCATAATGCCCACCAGTGACGTTGCCGTGATTAGGAAAGAAGCTCTGGTTTGGTGCACCACATGTGGCGCAAGTAAACTCGATTTTGAAGTTGGTCAGAACGAATGGTGGGCTGGTAAGCTGCCCATCATTTGGTCGCGGTTGAGTCGGATTCTTTGGGCGCCCAGCGTCCGAAGGTGGTGCTGGATCAGGAGCAGGGACTGAATAAGGAGACTGCTGGGAACTTGCGGGGTGATGCAGGCTATGACCTAGGGGTGTCTGTTCTGGTGACAGGACCTCAGCCGGCGGCGCTTGTTGTGTGGGCTGCACCTGGTGATGTACCTGAGGCGGCGGATGTACAGGTTGGCTGTGAAGTTGTGATGCCGAAATAGCTTGATCCCGGTGAACCTCATCTTGAGGTATGTTTTCCATGATGGTGGTTTGGAGAGTGTCTGTAATCCATCTTTGACTAGAGAGACTGCCGAAAGTCGAACTCTCCGCCTGACTCTCTAAAGGAGGCGGTTGGCTGTCCTGTCGGTCATCTCCACTAGAGTCATGAGTGTTGGTGCCCTCGCTCTGGTTTTGCGCTTCATGTTGCTGTAGGCGGATAAGAGCTCGTTGCGCTTGTCGCATCGAGATGTCATAGCCATGGTATCGTTTCACAGCGTCCACAACGTCTTGCGCCCTGATTTTGTTTTTCATGTCGAATAGCTTGGGGATTTCAGTCAGGAGGAACCGCACATGCGATGCCTCCGATCGAGCTGGTGTCTTCGAGGTTGAAGTGGCATTGCGACGACAACTGTGGCTGTCCTGGAGGCTGCTGATGTAAGTTGCATTCTTGTTCGCGCGGCACACAACACGAAAGTAGCAATTGTTCGAAGATCGACAGCCTATGACAACGCTTTTCTTGTTGCTTCTGGTCACTCGAAGCTCCCAGTGTTGTCTCACGGAAATACTTCGAACCAGTCCTTTAAATTCCTCCAGCGAGCTGAAACGTTGGCCCACGTGGAGCCCCGAGTACATCTCCGCCATCACGATGCAGAATGGTGTCGCGAGCGGAACATAAGCAGGTCGGTGTCGACAATGATTTCCATCAGTGAGGCGTTCTGACTCATGTGATTCTGAAGACAGCGATGAATTCCTTGGGCGATAAATCCGGCATTGTTTGGCGCGTAAAATGCAAGGTTTCTAATTCCCTATGACGATCCCAAGTCTGACAACCATAGCCAATCAGGGAAACATAGATAGAGCCAATCTGAACCGTGAGCCAATGGAAGTTGAGCGACCAACAGCTTCGAAGTGGGAAGCAGCTGTAGGGATGACTGAGACCCTCCCAGGGTCCGTTGACCACCTGCCGCAGTGATTGACAAGTGAGATTGGAGAGGTGAGATGAGGAGAAGGAAGCGCAATGAATAGTAGTATCAGATCGGAAATAGGAGAGTGGACGCTGCCCGCATTAAATTGCGGGCGGGAGGAGCAGCTGAAGGTCGGCGTCCGCCTAGCGCGGATCCCCCGACCGCTCACATCGGCCCATCCGGCCTTTTTCCCTTTGAAGGCTTGCACCATCTTCACGCGGCCACCGAGAAGAGGAGGACGCGCGATCCATTTCGACTCCTCCCCGACGCAGATTTGCATTTCCCCTTGACAAATACCCTATTTTATTTTTACGACCATAATGACGTCTTACGGGTTATTGGATCAACCAGATGAAGGTCGAGTGGTTCTAGAAACACGCCCCGTTCCTTACACCGTGCTAATGTAATGCCCTTTCAGATGGTCTCCACAAGTCGCGCCTCTTGAACGTCGAAGAAAAGCCTTTCAAGCGGATTTCAAAACGCCTCCTCAACAATGACTCCATCGTAGTGTCCAACGCAACGCTCCCTCCCACTCCTCCACCAGATGGTGCAGACGACGATGCGACAGCAGCTGCAGAGGCGGAGAAACAGAAACGGCTTGAGGAATGGCGCCATTTCCGTGAAGATGTTGCTTTGGATTTTGCCGCCTTCGAAGGCAGCATCGCGCGCATCCAGTTCCTTTTGACAAGTAATGAGAAGGAGCGCGAGCGCTATGCGACCGAGAAGCTTCGAATCCTTGATACAATGCAATCGGTGCGTGACAATACAGCAGAGCTGCGGGTACAGCTCGAGGAGGCCCAGCGTCTACTAGCATTGCGCAAAAGCTACGATGAATTGGCAGAGAAGATTACCAGCAACCGACTCTTGAAGCCGCGCGAAGATCAACAAGCCAATTTACAAAAGCTACAGGCGGAAATCACTGAGCTGGAGAAAGAGAGTAAAGACTACGCACACACCTGGTCTGAACGGCGAGAACAGTTCGGTCGCATTGTTGAAGAAGGGATGCAACTCCGTCGGCTCATCCGTGACGAGAAGGAGGAGGTCGAGCGCAGAGAAGGCATGCAGGAGGAAGAAGATGGAGATGACGGGGATGTTCCCTCCAAGGGGAAATCCAGTGGAGCTAATACCCCTCGTCACGAGTCAGACAGTCTGACTCCTTCTCAACATGGCCATGATGATCTTGGGCGATCACCAGCAGGCTTGCAAGTGGAAAAGACGGGTACTGCCGGTGCGGTGTCACCTTTGCGACAGATGACTGCGGTGGACGAGGAGAATAAGATTACCCCCGATCAGGACACCTCAATGGAAGATGAGGGTGAGGTCCCCGAAGAGCTAGAAGAAGGGGAGGAAGTCCAGGATGACCGTGCAGACAAAATGGACACTACTTGATTATCGGAGAATTTTCTCTACCACACATTGAGCAAGGAGTTCGGTTGGTGGCGTTCGCATTAGGCTAACTATCACAATGCAACAATGGCTTTGCTTTTCTCAGGGGCAATTTATTGAATAATTTTCGTGCTGTGGATTAAGTACATGTGCCAGTAGATGGAAAAATGAGCTATCTCAGGCGATCTCCCGCTCCGCTGTTCGGGCTTTGGCGATGGCTTCCTTCGCAGCATTAATATGCTCGACATTACTTTCGGGGCCTTTCTTTCCTTCCTCAACCTAGCAATAAATTTAGAATCTTAGTCCTCCTGACAGCACAAGATAAATTGTACATAGTAGCATGTAGGAAATTTGTCACTCACCAGCAAACTATTGAGCTTGGCTATAGCATCCTCAATCTTCTGCTTCAATGTCGGGAGGACCTTTTTGGTTTCCTCGAGAGCCAGACGCTATCAAAACAATTGTCAGCGACCTCCTTTACGCATATCGACCATACTAAGTTAGTTACTTACCTCCTGCCTCAATGTGTACTCTCTGTTTTCGTCATCGCCGCCCTCCTGGGACTCCAGCTTCTTAACTCTTTCCGTCTGCTCCTGCAGCTCACGGTGGTACGAAGCCTCTTCTTTGACAAGGCGCTCGACAGATGCCGTGGCGATCTCCAATTGAGAGCGAGGAGCCATGATGATCGACACTATTGAGCCGGAATTAGAGTCTATTGCACTTCTGCGGATAATAAGCCCTAGGACAATAGCATTTCTCCGTGCTGAACACAGAAATAATGAGATTGTGGCCTGACTCTAGCTTAATGACTCGAGGCGGGAAGCTTTAGGAGCTCCGACAGGTGCCAAACGAGACGTTGCCAAAAATGGCAAACAATCGTACTTAGTAGTAGTTGAACTTACCTGGACAGTACTTTTTGACTAGGTAGGTTTTGGGGGAGGGTAAGCAAATGTTCCCAGGTCAAGTGTGGGGAATATAGCTCAGGGAGATTGAAGGTGCTCTGAACTTGCTAGAGGAGTTTACTGCGTAATGCTGCTCTTGCTCGTCTGCCCCTCCGCGATGATGCTATAGAGGAGCAGTTTGCTGTGTTTGTCCGAGTGGAGAAGGTGGGGACAGCACGTGATATACGAGAAAGATGGATTGGGTAAAGAAGGAAAGCAACCCGACCAGCGAGTAGATAGTTACAGCGTGCTACTTTGCGATTCATCTATCTCCGGTTTGGACCGAAGAAGCGTGGAATCTGTCATCATGCATATTCAAGGGATATCTCGTCTCATCAAGACTAGCAACTCAAGGGGTATTCCATTAACTATTCAGCGAAGATCTGATCTAGCAATCTTTCTCCAACACGTCGTGTTATCTGGCCCAGTGGTGGCATACTATTCATGGCAATACTGCAATCCTCCTTGTATTGATGGTGTGTCTGTGACAATAAGAAGCATTCAGCAATCGCTACAATACGCGAGTCAATACATAGAATCATCCATCAATACCATCCCTTCATCTTGATGCAGGGAACTTTCCAAGCGGTTCAGAAGGGTCTCAATTCAAAGGATGAGACTCTGTCTGAAGGGGCTTGCCGTTCAAATCCTTGGACTTTGGCATCTCAGCAAACCATGACGGTGGGGCTATCCCGGTCTGTTCATGGATTGTGCTCAAGATAGGAGGGAGGCCCTGCATAATATTTCGAATCGGTGCCATAGCATCTGGCGAACCGTTTCCATGGTCTATTGCTATGTCAGAATTCGTGATAATTTCCAGTAGACGATATGCTGGCAATACTAACCTCCGGTATTCCAAGTGGTGATCTTCGGCTGGAGGCCACTGATAGCACGACCATTTGCATCGGCCAACCTTTCATAGGTGCCAGACTCCAACATTCTGTACTGCAGGAACGCCTGAGGACCACCGAGAACATCAACAAGCGCACCATATGCCTTTGCCATCTCGAGGATTCCTTCGGCTTCTCGCTTTTGGGTGTAGAAAGCTGCATCTGCGTCTTTGCTCTGGCGATAATCTATGGAGAAGTCAGCATTAGTTTGTCGCTGAAGGTCATCGACAACTTACAGGTTGCGTCTGCTTCCATTTTACTCTTATACAACTCTGCATCTGCCGCCTTCTGTTCCGTATAAAAGGCAGCGTCGGCCTCTTCCTGGGAAGACTCACGCTCAACCTTGCTTTTTGTGACCTGCTCGGCTCTAAGACGTTCTAACTCCGTCTCTGCGCGCTTGCTTTCCACTTGTTTCTGCAACTCAGCGTCTCTCATTTCCGTCTGACGCTGAGCTGCGATCTTGTTAAGTTGGACATCAGCATCCAGTTCAGTTTTGCGGTTCGTAAGCTCTGAGTCTGCCTTGGCCTTCTCCGCCTTGCGCTTTGTTTCTAGAACAGCAGTGTCGGCATCAATCTTGGAAATCTCCTGCTTGGTTCTGCCCTTTTTCTCTGCCTCTCCAATTTCACCTTTCATTCGTGCCTCTGCAACATCAATCTTAGCTTGGTTGAGAGCTCCCTCGTGAGCCTTGCGACTCAGAAAAGCAAAATATTCGCTTCCAGGGGTATCTTGAAGCTCCTTTACGTTGGCATTATAACTATGATTTATCAGAATTGATGATACCTCCTCAACAGGCTGGAACTTACATCCTTAGGCCGAATTGCTGAAGTTCATTTTGAACGTTCTCGATCACTTCCTCGGATGTTAGCAAAACAGTGACTTAGTTAGTTAGCGTATCGCCACTCACCTTTCGTCTTGAATATCTGTCTCTCCTTGAAGATCTCCTCCATGGACATGCTAGAAACAATCACCCGTGTTTCACCTTCGATGATTCCTCGAACGATATCCTGGACATGGTTCTGCTTTGCTTTGCTATTCAGGTCCCTCTTTTGGGCAGGATCAGCCTCGTCTGTACAGCCCGAAAGAAGCAGCGCATATTTCCTGAGTGCGCCCGGCTCATTGTCGGGGCCTATGGTAAACACTGCTGGCAGAGAAAACTGCAGCTTCTCGATTGTCATAGCCTGTAAGCTAAGCGAGAAATCATACGGCGCTACAGATATCCTCGAACACTATTCATGAACATGTCAGCTATACTCTTGGCACTTCTCTGATTGAACCTTACCCGCTGAAGTGGCCACACAAATGCCTTCTTGCATACTTTGATGTCATCAATCCCGGCTCCAGTGAGCACAAGATATTCGCTCGGTCGAGATATCGCGTACCTGTAGCATGCATGCATAAGAGACAAGCTTCGACTTGCATTAATCTAGAGACTTACCACATGGCTGCGGTTTGTGGAGGCTTGGATGAAATTATAGTTCAGTAAAAAATTGCTGTGAATGGTACTGTCGATCTTTCTTGCTCGAACAATTTGATGAAGTGTTGTACGCTAATCCTTGAGAATATGGCAGGAAGTTGACTCATGGCACGAGGACGTCTTTATATCCCCTCGTCTTTACATTACGCTATACTACAACATCTGTTCGAGCCTTCCAGGAACCGAGGACACCAGGGCGCAGTCATCCATCGTGCGTATGACTTTCATCATGAACTCTGTGTACGAGTTTACGAAGGGCAACTTCCACCCACAACGATAATCTTTATACCATCAGAGTAGTGATCAGTCTCCGGTCATCATTATAGTATGAGGCATAAAAAGCTATACAGAGCCTTGGCAGCGAGGCTATGCACTTGCCGCAACGCCCGATGGGGCGCATTACTGGCCAAGCCCGCCTCACTTTTCAGTTAGGTAAACGGCAAGGCTGCGGAGATGTATTCCGGGGAGTGCCCTATTCTGCAGGCGGATAATGCCACTATAACAATGCTACTCGGCCTGAGTTATAGATCATTGCGAGCAAATGATGACGGGCCATTCCCAAGAGGACAACCAAGCAATGTGGAAGTCACATGGCGACTGCATATACAGGGGTCAACAACAGCCACATCCAGATGTAGCAGTAATAGCGTCCAGCACAACCAACATTACGTGGGCCCAATAATCTGAAGATAGCTACTATTGTAGAACCCACTCTCCATTGTCCGCAATGAGAACGTATAACATCGTCCTGGGCGGTGAGCCTCGAACAGTCGGCAGAATCCGAGCTTCCGCCTGACTTGGCCTCAATGAACCAATGAGGTCATGACGAGACAGCTGTCCGCCCTGAGCCTGACGCAGGCGCATTTACCACGTACAAAGGCTCAATGGCCTTACGTTCATCTTATCCTGATCGTCGGTGACCATCTCACATGCCTTCTTCAGATGCCTCTCACTTCTTCCTTATATCCGATATCCCTTCCATGCCACTTTTTTGGTTATTTTTTGGTGCCCATCCCGATAAACCACCATGCCGCCACCATCACTTTTGCAGCTCTGCACGGCGACTGCGATTAGGAACGTGAAACGTATGCAACGCCCAATCTCACCTTCAGAAGACCTCAACAGGGTACTAACAATCGACGCTTATACAGAGTTAAATGACATCGGCAACATTCCCTATGTACTTGCTCGACCATTTCTACTGAAAGTGGAGAGTCCTGAGAAACTGGTGAGTCTGTAGCGGAAATCCCCCGTCCATCGTCAGTGCCCCTTTGACTAACTGTCAAACTCACCCCACATTACAGAGAACTCTGGAGCTACAGTCCCCACATTTGATGCGAGATGACGAGGAACTCTGGCTAGAGTTCATCAAAAGAGATATCCCGCGATGGGACGAATACGATCTGCCTGAGAAACCCGATTGTTGGTATGACGTATATTGTGACCTCCGGGAACAAGTCCAACGGGCAGTGGAGGAGGATGCTGAAAAGCTGAAGATGGCTTTAGATGGCATCAGCTCGGAGCGTCAGGAGAAGAGTGCCAAACTCGTTACCGACCGACGAATCATCGGTCTTCCCCGAGAGAGGCCGACCGCGAGGCAACGATATGCTTCATACGATCGGAGATTCGGCGGCTCACCAACGTCGTCATCCTCAATGTCCCCCTGGGCTTTTGGTAGGCCGAGGGAGGCAAAGAAGAAAAATAGCATATTCACGGCGACGAAGAGGAACAACGTTCTTGCTGTGCCCACAAAGCACCTTAATAACAGAGCTACCCAGGTCAGACAGGCTCCGCGCTCTCTTATCGAGGACCATATACGTCCTGCTGAGCCCCCTGTCGCTCGACGCAAGGAGGCCCCAGCTCTGAGAGTGCCCGGTCGGTCACGTCCCCAGATGAGTGCGCCATCCGTGAGTCAGAATAGTCTGGAAGTTGGTCCCAGCTTGCGAGAAAGAGAGGCTCGTTTACGAGCAATAACCCAATCGCATAGTTCTGCCACATCCGATAGGCCTATGGCAGGAAGAAGTGCACAGACATCACAACCAACGAGAGGCCCGTCCGGGTCTCTATCAGGGGCTGCGGCCAAGAAACAGACCTCCCAACTGCTCGGTAGCAGTGCGACTGGCTCTCATCAGAAGTCTGCCATAGAGGACATGCCAGCGTCTCCGCCACAGCCACCCCGTCCGGCAGTGGTCCGCAAACGTCCTGCCCCGAACCTCTTCATTCAACCAAAGAAGAAGAAACTGAACTGATTGGACATATGCTGGTCCCAAGAAAGTCAACTTGCATTATTAGATACACAGAGCCGCTCATAATATATAGGAATGGCGTTTAGTATGGCGTGAGTCTGGTTCATCGTTTCGGCTGATGGCGTTTTG